GTTTTGTTAATCAGAAAACTAATATTTGAAGTGTGACTTATCGCCCGCGACAAAGTTTTCGTTTTTAACAGAAATCCACTGGAATATTAGTACATTTATATTACCGTGAATTTTGGACTGAAAGAAACGATTGTAAGCATGTTTCCTAACCTTGCAACATTTTATAATCATGTATATATTTGTACAGTTTGTAAATTAAAGGAAAATGGCTGGTTTTAATGGGACACCCTGACTTGGAGTCATTTGCCGCGAAATTTATTCGGTGTCGCCGAATGACAAACATTCGTTTTTGCCCCACTCCTTCCCATTCTTAATTTGCAGTCGTTGAGCAGTTGGAACGAAGGCTCTGAGATCACGAATGAATTCCACTGCCTTGGTATAAAATCGCGGCTCAAAAACAAAGCACTCACGCGTGTACGCGCGAAAGAAGAAGGCATCCTACACAGATGAAAGTCTTTAAAGAAATCTTTATTCCACTTATTCAAAAGAAACCTAAGTAGCAGTTACCGTAAACATGTAGAAACACAGACACATTATAAATTTCTTTCACAGTTTTTAAAAAATACAAAACGCATTATGAAAAACTAAGCTGGACTTTCAACTTCAATCCCAGGGCTCACTCTGATCTCGAGATGTATGACATGGACGGTCACTGGGAACGAGTTTTCCTGGTGTTACCAAGCACTACATGTTTACGATACTGAAATATCTACCTAACAGTAGACTAGCAGGTGTCTGCCCTGAGGCAAAATGAAAACTATTTCTTCGTTCAGACGAGAGGCAAATTGAAAAATACCGCACAACTATCCGTAAGAGTTCACAAACACGCATTAAAGTTTTCTATTCTCAACATAAATAGATTGTATTAGGAATTTCTTTTCTGTTTTTCTTCAAAGAAACACCGAGAATTGTTAACTGAACTATTCTGTCTCCAAACAAGATAAACAAACGACAATCCAGCAAAAGCTAAAGTAATTAAAAGATTTACGCCTAGTTCCACTCCCTTGCATCTTGCCCACAAGATGTGCACTTTAACAGAGCGTAATAAATTGCTGACAATAAATTAATAATTACTGTTAATAAGGTCCATTTGAAACTCATACAAACTCTAATACAGTAAAGAAAAAAAATGCCATTTTGTCAAATCTTCGTTCGAACACTCAAAAGTCGCAAGCTCTCCCAATCTTAAGTTCCAGCATAGAGCTGTTGCTAAGCAGCGTGAACTAACTTCCTATTGGCTCTTGTGCCACTTACGAATGCTATCTTCTGATTCAACAGAAAGACCTGGAAACTCTGAGTGCCTCTACGAAAATGTGCCAAAAATGAACTTAACTTAATCAGTTAATAAATAAATTCAGATATTAAATAATCAACCCATAGAATTGTATTACTTGTGCATGCATACTAGACTAGAAAACAATTACATTTCCTTTCAATAATGCATTTCTTTGTGCGTGTTCTGTTTTTGTTTAATTCGCGGATCGTTAAAGATTGACAAAAACTGAAAACACAAATTTATCCTCAGAAAGAAAAGAACAGTACTACTTGCATAGTTCACCTTGTACCGAGAAAAGTTGTCAAACTTTCCAATTTTGCAAACTTTTCTCGACCTCGTGAATAAAAAAAGGAATAGTTACAAAAAGCAAAAGAAAACGAACTCTCAAAAACTCTCATCCTCTCACGATCGCTTCAAAACAAATATTTGCGTGAAAATTGAAATGAATTTTAACAACTTTGAATTTCTTCCCCACTTCCCTACAATTTCTGTTAAACACTACAATCAATTTCGTTCCATAATTTGGGTGTGCAGTTTCCACTACTTCAAATTCTTGAAATCAGTTTTCAGTCAACTCAATCTAAGAGTTTCCCTTCAAAGAAATGTAATTATTGATTAATTAATTTAACTAA